AAGGGAAACGGGGGTTAATCAGGAGGGAGGGAAATGAAAAAAATACGTAGCATACTTTATGGAAGGCCCCAAACGACGATCATTTTCCGATAGAGACACTTCTGGTTGTCCTTGAGGGTCACCCGCCGCATGCAGTCAACACTATAGTAGCCTTTCTGTTACCTGTCCCTCCCATTTGCTCAGGCAGCAGACGGACGTGTCACAAAGGATGTGTTGATAATCAACGTAGGATGCGCAAGTCATGAAGAGATACCTAACGTGCAGTCATTCCTTCTTAGCCTTCTTCCTACTCAAAATAATACGATGGCCAAACAAGAACAAATTCAAGGACATTCATGTACATTTCCAATTGTAACGGCCCGAATACCGGCCTCACAACTACGTCACATTTCAGGAGCCTCGCCAGGCACTTCTGCAAGCTATATTTATTGACACTGCGTTACGCACTCTTTTGATGCCGAACCTCTTAGCGTTGTGTTGCGTTTTGATACTTGGTATGTTTTTCTTCACGAGCAAAGTAAAGCCATTAAAACACAACACTGTAAAACACAACACTGTAAAGAATCAATCTTGAAAGTCCTCTTCGTACAAGAGTATTCTTCAAAACTCAACGGATCTCTCAAAGTCTGTGGCGCACCAGGACTCCGGGTGTAAAGCTGTCACAGACGAGACATTATGTGCAGCCAGTTCTCTACGGAGTGCGCTGCGGTCAGTTTGGATGGGCGAGAAGATACAGTAAGTAAATTGACGAATAGAGGATTAACGAATATACCCGCCATAACATGTTTTTGGCGTGTTTGTTCTGACAAAATTGCGATGCAGCTGTTCGATGGTGTTTGGACTGACTTGGAAACACACAAATGTAACGATTAGCACGCACCCGGTTGGTGGGTTAATTTGCCCCCCCCCCCCCCTACACCTACTCTTAAGGGTTGTCAGAATGGGTTCCGAACGTTGACGCTTAGTGACGCCAGACCCAGAGCTGCAGACAGCTGAATGGCCTATCTTTTTATGTAAAAATAGGCATGCCTCTTAAGATCGCTGACTAAATCTAGCAGGTCAAAGGCAGGTCGTGGTTGTGAGCGAAGGCAATTCGTGTGGAATCTTTCAGTCTGATGCGACAACGGAGTATAAGACAGAATCATTAAACTTTAAGATGGCTTCCTAGATTAGTGCACAATTAAAATCAACGTTACAGCTAATTATGAAAAACCCATTTTGCGAGCAATTTTTGGCGCCTCTCACGTTCTTTAGTCCACTAGTCCAACTCTGGTGGTGCGTGGAGGTTTGATGGCAATTTAGACAATTATTTCAAGTCTGCCTTTGTTCGATCTTACTTGGCCCAAAAGGTTTAGCAGCAGTGTAGAAGTTCGCTAATGCACAAATGCCATGGGTTCTCTAGCTCTACCAACACTGAGAAGTCACCCCATGAAGATGCCCCCGCCCCGAACCCGACCGGACATGTCCAATGCCACCAGCCGATCCACTCAGCCGATCGGTGACCAGGCTTGGCCAAACACAGGTGCCCATGGTGTGGGAGCCGGAGGCGGGGCGAAGGTCAAGACATCGGCGCCCCGCCCGCCTCCGCCTTATGTCGGCGGCCACGCATTGTTTAATGTCATAACATTCCGACAGCTATATACACAGACGACGGCCTGGAGTTAGCGAGATATCTGCGGCACGTCGCGCCGCGCCAGCACCCGTGCTTACACGCCGAACATTTCTATGCACAGATCACGGACGCCATGGGGCCAAAGGGGATGCCATGCAATTCAATCAAAAACTGATTCTTGCTTTACGCTCTAGACTGTATGTGATGCTGGCAGGAACGATTCTGCGGCTGAAAGAAAATATGCTGCCGGGGTCTCCAACAGACTTTTAATGTGCTACGTCATGTCACGTAAGACTTCGACCTTGTCTTACGTTTTTAGGACTTCGTCCAGACCTTTTGAATGGATAGATTTCTGGCATCAGACCTCACACTAAGCAGTGCTTGTTGTGTGAGCCCTAGCGTCCACCACCCAATCGTGAAACTCCAGGTCAACGGTAGAATAAGGTAGCAAAGTTCTAACGTGCCGCAATGCTCGGCACAATCCCCCTGCCCCTGACGTGATTTGACCTTCAGGAACGACGTTGCCACCGCCAAAGGGTATCTCAGTCAAGTGCAAATGGCGAACACCTACAGCGATTCGAGTCCACTCATCCACTGGTGGGTGGATTGGAAGCCAGACGCCCAAACTAAGCCATCAGGACGTATGTACATGCATGCAGTAGTACATAGTCAGGGTCTCAGTTTAAGACAATTTAAAACACTCATCTTGTCCTGTTGCACAATTTACTACATCGTTGTGTCCTGACGAGCGCACATCATTGCATTCGTCAAACTGGAATTCTGCCGCAACCATCAGCTGACCAGAAAAATTTCGAGCTGCCCCGGCTGCTAGCCCGACCGGAGCGCTGGAGCGCTGCGGAGCCGCGCCGAGTATTGCAAGGTTATCTTTGGAGAAAGCCCCACTGCCTGCTCTTATAACAAAAAACATATAACAGGAAACATCACACTTCATTCGTCTCTCTTTGATCTGATACCTCAGAGATGGTCTAAAACTGATCGGAAGGGCTTCAATGTAACCAAGGAGAACTAAAAAATGATCTTTTTAGACGAGAGCATAATTGATGACAAATTGCACCGTCTTTCAATGCTTGTGCATGTTCATTTATTTTTGTTCTGCTAAAGCTATCTTTGCACAGCGGAATCTTTGATTCCGAATGATACGGCCCAGGACTGACTTTTATAAATATTGTGCAGGTTTCCTTCCCGAAATGGCATATGATCTTATACGCTTATTTTAGTTGTTAAGGACTCGTAAATCATAGCTCTGTTAGACCTACACAATTTATCACCAAATCTGTTATCCTGGAAATGTTGGCATCGTAACGTGAGAAGTTCACAATGTCTGTCGAAAAGAGTGGGCACTTTATCTATGCTTTTGTCTAATACCGGATCACGCACCACTTGAATTCGTCATCAGTTCCGTAGCAAATTACATAATCTACGCAGGCTGCACGATATCATTGTATTCATGTCATTCATTCAGACTTGAACCCATCAGGAGACCCATGTCATACGCGATCCTTCCCTTCAGCCGGAGCCTGCCAACCTAAAACCTTGCACGCAGCCGGCTGGAATCCGGGGACGAGTAGGGATATAAGCCGACAGCGTTGAAGACAGTGCTGACAGTGTTGGAGACAGTACCGACAGTGTTGAAAACAGTGCCGACAGTGTTGGAGACAGTGCCGACAGAGTCGAAGCATTTGTGGGTCACTGGGGTCTTCGGAAGCATCAGCTCAGGCGCCACCTGATGCTCTGTGACTCGCTTTAGCCCCCAAATGCTGGTAAATACCTCCAAATGTGGAGGCTTGCCCCTACACTCCTGAATATGGTCTGCCGGCGTTCCCCACTTGCTCCGCGAGGCTGCGAGTATGGGCCGTCAGTCGCTACCCACTTCGCCTGTTGTGTGTTGACCATCAGTCGCTTCCGTGCCTGCTGTGTATGGAACATCGGTCGCTGCCCACCCTGCCTGTTGTGTGTTGACCATTAGTCGCCACCCTGCCTGTTACGCAGCTTACTCTTTACAATAAGTTCGACACTTTCCTATTTTGATATCTGCTAGCTACTATGCACTATATTTAACATGCATGCCTGACGCTCTCATAGGACAAGCCTTGTGGGCAAAACTGGCCCAGCCGAATGTCTCAACCGGCCAAATTATCGATATCCGACACCACTTAAGCGGGTCTTTACATTCTGCGGACGGAAGTGATGTGCGACGGCCCGAAGCATGTCTGCAAGGCTATCGGAGCCTTAACGTGCGACACCAAGGAGAGCGAATTTCTTGCAGAGGAAAATAACAAACGATGGTAGCTTTACCACCTAATCAATTAGTGTGAGTCATCTGAAGAAGTTGCAAATCGGTTCAGATATGCTACGCGAGCAAATATAGGGCAAAATGGGGGGAGGGGGAGAGCACAAGAGTACAGAAACGCCTGATAGAATGAAATTATTTTTGCATGTTTTTTGGCCGCCCCAAACATGTGCATGGTTACTATTGCCGACTACTGGTTTTTAGTGTCTGCTCCCCCAGTGTGTGTTAATTTTCGTTCCATTCCTGTACATATGCATGACTGGAGCATGGTTTTGTTAAACGTATAATACATGCATACATAAAGCCGGAGATTCAGAAAGAGCCAGGACTCTTGCTAAATATCCGTCTTTATTTGAAATCTCTTTCTCTCTCTCTCTCTCTCTCTCTCTCTCTCTCTCTCTCTCTCTCTCTCTCTCTCTCTCTCTCTATCTCTCTCTCTCTCTCTCTCTCTCTTCTCTCTCTCTATCTCTCTCTCTCTCCCTCTCTCTTCATTCTCTCTCTCTCTCTCTCTCTCTCTCTCTCTCTCTCTCTCTCTCTCTCACTATATATATATATATATATATATATATATATATATATATATATATATATATATATATATATATATAATCTGGGGAAACATTTTCAAATAAGGACGGAGGTTCATTAAGAATTTTGGCTCTTGCTGAATCTCCGACTTTATTTTACACGTTCCCTAGGCTCTCCCTGATTTTAGAACCAGAAACCAGGAGCCGATTCTCCGCCAGGGATCTTATGAACCTGACGCACTAGTTCGTGTCAACTTTCAGACAATTTTCGGCCAGTTTTCTGGCGGCCTTCATCTGATCAGGGCAGGGTGATGGGGCTTAGCGCAAAAGACAAGCCTTCCTATCGCGTTCACTGTGACCAATGTAAGGCATGCCAAAGTAGTCGACGTCGCGTACGTTTTATTGTACGTGGGAAAAAGAAGTGACAATATTTTACTATCGGGAAATTCTTCATGATTTGGTAGCACCGATGTATTACGCTTATGAGATCGAAGTTACAAAACATCAATGTTCATTGCCAGAAATCCTTAGTGGTGAATGCATCGGTTTGGGTTGGGGAGGTTGGGTGTTATTCGTTGTAGTAATAGGTTCATTTTTGTCCAAATGAAACACCTAGCCCGTGGAGCTCAATCTTTTATCGTGACGCATAGTTAAGGCGCTTATTTGGGTAGGTGGCTAGGGTCCATTGCGGAACAAGTGTCAGCCGGGCTCTCACTAGAATTCAGGCGTTGCAGGCTTCTCAGAATGCTCCTTGTTTGGTGTTCCGAAAGGCCTAAATTTGTTGGGCTCCAAGGGAAAGTTACAATGCAATTCTAATGAATTGGTTTGAGTAAGTGCTGTTTGATCCCAGCACTCAATTATTCAATGTTATAGAAAGTTATGTAAGCTGTACAGCAAACTTGTGGGGATAAGAGACATTTCAGTTGTATCCTCATTTAGTGTTCATTACAGCGATTTCAAGGATATGTGAAAAACTGGGAAGACTCAAACTATTTTTGATCAATGATTCAAGTCCCTTGTGATAATTAAGGGACATTGGCTGCATATTCATTGGTGGTTTGTCAGCTTAGAGTTGGTACCTTGCTTCCATGATTTTATGGAGCATTTGGAAAGTGAAAAGCATGTTTTCAAGTATGCAGTGAGTTTTGAAGTAGTGTGCACTGAATAATCTCTACTATTTTGTTTGTCTTGAAAGATAATGAGGTTTATGCTGGATTGAATCAAAATACAAATGGATGAATGTGAAATTACTTTGCTACAATGAACAGGACAAGTTGTACCTGGAATTAGATGAGTTGTTTTTACTGGATCGATGCAGAATTGACCTAAGGTACCTTCTAGTTACATCCCATATAATTTTTCCTAGCATCTTAAAAAACAACCAAATGAGCCACCAAATACTGGCCTTGCTATCTTGTTATAAAAAGGAATGCTGCACATAGCGAATGAACCATCTTAAACATATCTGGCTCTTATTTTCTACCACCTGAATACATTCTATGGGAATTTGTTGTGGATGTCAGCTTTAGATATTGGGATCAACATCAGTAAATCTCTTCTTTTTTTTCTTCTTTACATAACAAAATAGATTGAGTCAAAATGAACTCTAGAAGCTACCTTTGCTTAAATTGTATCCTTAAAGAGGAACAATGTGAATATAATTTTGGGCTTCAGATTTTATTGAACATCCCTATTTTATCTGGTGCTGAGCATTAGGGCCTAAGAATATGTGTTGAGTCTTTGTGTGTGAATGTGTATGTGCTATTTGCATGCATCTGACTAGTGCACTTTATGACAATGGTGAGGTGTCATAGCAGCTTTTAACCTTGTCCAAATGTAATGGTGATTAATCCTGCTTCAAACAGTCAGTTTTGAAAATTTATAAGTGAGAACAGTACACTATATCTTGATCATTTCCCACTAATATCTTTTGAAATCTGTCACATTTTGAATACTTCTCCCTGCAGGCAGCTCCGAGAGCATGGGCTTGAGCAGTTTGACAATCGTTGACCACTAGTCGGCTAGGTATTGGGTTTTAATGGTGTGTCAACTGCCTTGGTTATTTTCATCCTGGTTGGCAACTGAATGAGTGACATACCTTGCTTGACGCAGAAGCAGATCTATTAAAAACGCAATTGGCCACATCTCATCATCTTAGTTGTACTATCCCCTTTCAAAAGACTAGCTAGGGCTAAGTATTTTTCTTGGTTGTGTTACACCAACACATGCTCAGCATTTTGGCATTAACTGCCAGAAATACCATGAGGTGAGTGTATGCCAGGTGGGAATGTTTTCACACAGCTTTCCAATGCTGGTTATTTGGGAGGTTGGGTGTTATTTGTTGTAGTAATAGGTTCATGTTCGTCCAAATGGAATACCTAGCCCGTGGAGCTCAATCTTTTATCATGATGCATAGTTAAGGTGCTTATTTGGGTAGGTGGCCAGGGTTCATTGCTGGATAAGTGTCAAAGTATTGCCTTAACACCTTGCTATATAGCTTATAGTTTGTAGAGGGCTTTATTGAGAGACATCTGATTAAGACATCATATTAAGTGTTTGATTTTTTTGTTTATTTGTGAATAGATAATTGTAAAAAGAGCTGCTTTAATGTTGGCATGTTCTGGCTTCTGATTTCAGGTGTAAATGTGTAAGTGCCATTGATGCTTTTGATCCACAATTCCAACACTTCTTAATTATCTTGAATTATGGCTCCTTGTTGATCTGAAGTCGCCCAAAGGTGTTTTCAAGGGAACAAAATTGGCATAGGTTTAGCTGATTATTTAAATGAAGTCATGTGGGCTGGTAAAGTGAGTCATAGTATGCTGAGTCATGCTCTCAGACAGCTACTAAGATTTCACCAGTACATCTATTTGATGGCCTTGCCTTACAGTTGCAGAACAGCTGTTCCAAACTGATCTCATAACTGGTAAATCCAGTCCAAGTTTGGAAAAATAGTGAGTAAATCATAAGCTTCTGCATATACACAGTGTGCATGCCATCCTGAAGTGTTGAGGTGATGTCTGACCGCTTCTGCATGTTTCAGAGCGGCTGGGCGATGCCATACTGACGGGAGCTGATGTAGCTGGTGAAGACGCCAGCTAGAAGACACTGTATTGATGTGAATACACATTGGTTTTCCATGCATTCCTACCTGCCAGACCCAGACAGTGTCCCAATATCAGACATGTCTGTGTTCGAGCGGAAGGCAGCTAACAAGATCCTGTTGGATGACACTGAACCGCTCTCCTGCAACATTGAGGGATACCAGAAACGGGAGGACCATATCGTAAGTTCTGCACACAGAGACAGCTGTATATGCATCCAGGCTACACTAGTACACCCGCACAGCCGTCCACGCGCACAACTGTTAACGATCCTAGCCAGGTATACACGCATACATTGCTCCTTAAATAAAGTCAGCTCCTTCAGAGGCTTGGCGTGCGTCGGCTTACACGTTTCGAAAACGAACCTGTTGCATGGCTTGTGGAAAGGATAGACGTCGTTAGGTAGTGGTCGTAACCTTACCGGTAGCGGTGGGTACCTTGGGTAGATTCGCACGAAGGAAGCCGCGCTGCAGTCCTACGTCCGATGGCTCCGAGATAAAGACATGACTTTGCATTAGCCGTGCAAGAACGCGTCAGTCATGGAAAGTGGTCGGTCTGAACGTGCCGCCACATCTGCCGCAGGAGTACATCATCTGCGTACAGCGGGGCGTCAGGAGCAAGGACAGATGGCGCGTGCGGCACCGTTACAAGGACTTCGTCGAGCTGAACGACGCTCTTTCCGTCTCCAAGCTCGATCTGCAGCTGCCCAGAAAGAAGGTGTTTGGCAACATGGACAAGAACTTCATCGAAGACCGCCGGCAGGGGCTCCAGGTGCGATGGCTTCTGCGGACGCCGGCGGGTCGCTCTATCAGTATTGTTCCTGCCTGGCGCTGTTTCTGACGAGCAGAGTCGCTCGCGATTTTCCGCCAAGATTTGCCCCTCTCTGATAACGCGCCAGTGGACGCCTCTTTTGTAATAGACTGTGGAGATTGCGCCGAATTGACCCAAACGTGAACTTCTCTCTTTCCGCCCCCCCCCCCTTCCCCCTGAAAACCGTTTACTTCATTGGATCGCCGCGATGTCCGTTGCTTTCCAATCTTCTCGTGTCTGGAGGAAGTCAAGACTTAGCGTGTGGTGGACGTATAGCGTGAGGTCATTGTCAGCTGGATACTAAAATGGCCGCCACCGAAGACGGTAGAAGAAGTCATACGGCTCTCTTGACCCTGAATTCGCTGTCCATGGTTCGAATTTAGCGAATACTGCACTTCCCCATACGCCTAGTTGCAAATGTTCCGCTTCCTGACTGCCGTCCCTGACCCCAGGTCTACCTGGACACGGTGCTAGCCCACCCGCTGCTCTCGCAGTGTCTGACGGTTAAGCGGTTCCTGGACCCACCAAACTATCCGGATACCATGGAAGGTGAGGCCAGTCCTTTTGTCGACCTCGCAAACAAGTCCTGAACATCGCTGCCCACGCAGCGTTTGTCTAACTGTGCGTGCTCTCCTGCCGCGTTTGTCCGCGCTGTTCGTGCCGCGGGCCGAGCACCGTTCTCCAACACTCGCCCTTCTCTATCACGTGGGTTCGTGATCGACCATCCCCGCTGGGGCTGATCTACAGCCGGTGTGCTCGCTCACGTGCCGTCGTCCGTCCGCTCGCCACTGGCGTGCGCAGGTGGCGCCCGCCTTTGTTGCGGTGCTTCGCGGCCGGCCGCGGCGGGTGCTACGTGGGCGTCGTGTGCACCTGGTGTCCGGGTGTGCTGTCCGCCGCCCGCCCACCCAGCGGTGCAACGGCGAGTCTCGATCGCGTGTGGTGGCGGGTGGGCGGAGACTGCTTCCGGTTCCGGGTGCAGGCGCTGCCGGCCGTCACCGGTCGCCGCCGGCCGGCACGCCAGACGGGCGTTGTCTAACGCCTGCTGTGAGATGAGTCGATGAGGGTCCGCTCCCTGGCCACCGCGCGTGACGTCTTAGGTCTCCGAGGCTGTTTGACTGTCTTGGGACTGACGCGTGTTGTAGGATGCAGGCTGGGGGTCGGCTGTCTGACGGCTCGTTCTCGTGGCTGGTGCCCCGTGCCAGACCGTGCCGTTCGCCGTCTGAGGCGTGCGGCCCCGCCCACCTCTGCCGCGCTGCCGGCTCCTGACGTCTCCTTGACGTCTCCTGGACGTCTCCTGGACGTCTCCCTGACGTCTCCTTGACTTCGCTCTGACATCTCTCCGGCAGCGGACGCGCTGCAGGCGGTGCAGCTGGCGCTGCGCGGCGCCGCGATCGTCTCGCTCGGCGACGCGCTGCCCAGCCTCGGCTGGCGGCCGCGCAAATACCATCAGCTGGCGTCGGACGGAGGCCGCCGCCAGCTGCTCACCTGGAGCCCGTACGGGCCCGACCGCTGCCTCCAGGTGCCGCAGATGGCTGCCGTCAACAAGTGCCTGGCCAGCCTGCAGGTGCGCTCGCTCGTTCGTTCGCTCGCTCCACACGCACCCACACGCCGATGCGGCGCCGCGGCAGAATGGTGCTGTCCGGAGGCTGATGTAGGACGGTGTTGTCGGAGGGTTGACACGCGGCTTTTGTCTGAGTTCAAGAAAATTAGCGTCGCTGTCCTCAAGTCAGGATCAGGCATGCTTTGTTCGAACAGCGAGACTGGGTCCGTGACCTGTGTCCGCGTGGCGTCGAGTGTTCGTTATGAAAAGGGCCCGGTCTGTCCCTGTCCCTGGCCCTGGCCCTGGCCCTGGCCCTCCCGCTCGGCGTCCGCCCGGTGTCGCCGCTCTCCGTCGGCTGACGCGGCGGCGGCGGCCGGCACCGCCAGTTCCCCTACATCCAGACGCACGAGTACAGTCAGCTGGCGGAGCGGGCCGGCCTGCACATCGCGCCGCTCTGCCCGGCCGGCTCGCTACGTGACGTCATCAGCGGCACCAAGCCGGGCGCCGCCCACTTCCTCAGCAAGTACGGCGGCGTGCGGCCCGAGTGCGCCCTTCTCTACAGCGACATCCGCAACATCGGCCGCCAGCTGCTGGAGGCGCTCCGGCTGCTGCACCAGCGCGGCATACCCTACGGTACGTGCGTAGGCGATTAGCAGGAAAGCCCAGCGTTGCTGCACCAGCGCGGCGTATCCTACGACACAGACGTGGGGGATCGGCTGGAATACCCTACGGTAGTGCACCAGCGCGGCGTACCCTACGGCACGGACGTTGGGGATCGGCTGGAATACCCTACGGTAGTGCACCAGCGCGGCGTACCCTACGGCACGGACGTTGGGGATCGGCTGGAATACCCTACGGTAGTGCACTAGTGCGGCGTACCCTACGGCACGGCCGTAGGGGATCAGCAGGAGCTGTGCAGGGATGGCCGTGACGGCATGGCTAATCATCAGGATTACCCTGCGGTAGATGTGGTGAGGACATGGGTCAGCTAGAGCACCCTACGGTGTGTGGTGCAAGCTGCGGGTTGGTGAGGGATGCACTACAGCCGCGCGGCAGGCTGGTGGATTCGCAAGGAATGCACCACCACTGGTGTGGCCGGGTGACGGGTTAGCAAGGAATGCAGTATATTCCGCGCGGCGGTGTCCCGTCGAGATGTTGGCATGCGGTTATCGGCATACGTATGTAATATGCCAATCAGGATTTACGTGCTTGGGTGCTCTAAACATTGTTGTCGGGGAAAAACACCGAGCGTAATTGTTTGTTTTCTTCCCGCATCAGTACAGGGTTTCAGAACGGTAAACCATCCGGCATGCGTTTTCAGTCTAGGTTTTGTGAATGACTGTGTTTTCATTCCCCCGAAATGAACGGAGATATTCACGAAAATATCAAGACACAATATATATATATATATATATATATATATATATATATATATATATATATATATATATATATATTTCTTGTGGCATGAGGAAAGCAAATATTCCTATGGTTACCTGAATACATATAAAATGCATCGGTAATGGAAGGGCTCAAAAGACATATACCACATTTTATACGCATTGAAGTAATCATGGACACGCTTGTCTTATCCAAACTGCAAGATGTTCTTAAGATAGTGATGCACAACTTCGGTGTCCTCAAAAATTGCAACTTCTCACTTGTGCCATATATATATATATATATATATATATATATATATATATATATATATATATACACTTGAATATATGTTTGGTTAGTGAAGGCGGCAATCCCTGGACTTGACGTCCCTGCTCCAGATTTATCCGGCATGTACACTGGGACGTGCACACACGGACTGGACTGGGACGTTATTTCACTCCAGAATAACCAGTTATACTACATCACTTCGGTTCTTGTCATGTTTGGGGGGTGCTGCATCGGGTTTGGGTACAAATCGGCTAAGTGTGCTGCATTCCTGGCATTGATTTATGGTGGACTTGGCTAGCTTGGCGTTGCATTGGCTTTGAGCGCTTAATGGAAGGTGTAACTTGAGTGATACGAAATACTTCAGTAATGTCACCATTTAGTTCGTGTTCTTGATGCGCGCTACCCGTTTTCCTGCAAGTTCCCACGCGTTTGAATAAATGGCGATAGTCGGGGCTAATTGGTATACCTATAGAAGTGACAAGCAGCTCATTGAAACGGCGCTTAATACCCACACAGTTGTCGGCACGGCTAGTGTACGGCTGTCGGCAGGACTGGTTCATCCGTCTGTGGAGCGGGCCGAACAGAACAGCTAGCGGGCCGAGCCCCAAACGCCGTGCCGTGGCGTGCCGTGCCGTGCCGTGCCGTGCCGTGCCGTGCCGGGACGGGGTCTGGGTTATGGCGCGGTGCCGACCGCTCCGCTCGACACCCCACGGCGTGAAGTGGCCCCCTTCTGGGAAGCGGACACGTGCCTTGCATTATCGTATGGCGGCGTTTCGGCAGGAAAGCCCTCGTTTGCCGCTTTTAGCTCTCGCACATTGGCGTTGTATGGCTCTCTCATCAGGCGGGATTGGCGTGCGGCTTTGTGGTCAGCTATTCACGCCTGTATTGCTGCGGGCCCATGTTTCATCGCGCAGGCTGTCATGCGGTGTTCACATCGTATGACAACAATGCTTCCGTTTCTAATGGTCCGTTCTATTTCCAAGCCCAGCTGTTTGCAACGCCTCGCGCCGGGCTGTCAATACGTCTCCGCTGTCATCGTGAAGGGTCGGCATCTGGTGAGCGCGCCCGCAGTCTCTACCTTGTTCGTCACCCGACAGATGGCAGTACAGACACCCGCTCCCTAACGCGCCGCCGCTGCCGCCGGTAGGACACCTACACAGCGGTAACGTGCTGTATGACGGCGGCGTGTGCCGGCTGACGGACCTGGAGAACGCCGTGTGGGGCGTGCCGCCGTTCTACCGGCCTTACCAGGTGCGCCACCGCCGGCTGGCCACGCTGGAGGCGGCCGACGTCTACGGCCTGGGCCACGTGCTGCACGAGCTGACGTTCGGCCGGCCGCTGTTGGCCGACCAGCTGGAGCAGCTGCCACCCGATCTGATGCCCGATCTCGGTCAGTGCTGCCGCCTGGCGGGGTGGGGCGTAGGCGCGGCGGGTTGCAATGATTACGAGCTAGTTTATTGGCATGTTTTGAGGCGCCGTAATAGCTGTGTATATCTGAGCAACGCTACACCGCAGGTTATGTCCTGGCTTTGATTCTGTACCACAGGCCGCGTGCCGGACTCGATCCCGCCTTCAGGCCGCGTGCTTGACTTGATTCTGTACTTGCAGGTCATGAGCTGGACCCACTCCTGTACCACAGGCCGCGTGCTGGACCCGCTCCCGTGCCACAGGCCGCGTGCTGGAGCCGCTCCCGTGCCACAGGCCGCGTGCTGGACCCGCTCCCGTGCCACAGGCCGCGTGCTGGAACCCGCTCCCGTGCCACAGGCCGCGTGCTGGACTCGATCCTGTCGGCCGACGCGCTGCGTCACGGGCTGCCGTCGGTGGAGCAGTTGCTGGAGACGCCGCTGTTCCGGGACGTGGTGCCACCGCTTCCCGTCACCTGCGCGCTCAAGATGACGCCGCAGTGCCGCGAGCTCTTCCGCACCGTCAAAACCACCACCGAGGAGCGGCTGCAGCACGACCAAAAGCTGGTGAGATGAGGGAGGGCGCCGTGGCCGGCCGGGGTCGCTGGCCGGCGCCGGTTCATGCTAGGACTGAGGGGGTGACAAGCGGTGGTGCTGAGCCGTCTGGACGTGGAGGTGACTTCATTTGCCTGCTTTGTTCAGTTGGGTCTGAAAGCGAAGCGTCGCCTCGGAGATAGTGGGGAAGGTAGGTTTGCTGGGTTTGCAGGTGGGGATTATCTGCGGCTTGTTCTTTGAAGAGGGCAGATGGAAGGAACAATTCCCCGTCTTGTCGTGTTATCGTCGAAAGTGGTGGCCATTGCTTCTTTTATATTTTCAGTACCGGCACCAGCGTCGGCTTGACAAGACTGAGGCGCTGCTGAACGATGAAGACAAGAGGCGCGCCCGCCGGCAGCTCCAGAGAAAGGTCAGCCTCGGGCGGCCACCAGTGGCTGTACACTCGGAGCCTCAAGCGAGTTCCCTGCTCATGTGCTCATAGTATTGACAGGTCGATGTGGTAGCCCCTGCGCACGCGCTGCGTCATTTAGCCTCGGAGCGGTCATTTAGGGCGGGCTAATTTCCGCGCCGTGTGCCGGCGGGGACTCAGCGCTCGCGCACGCGACAAAACGGCTGACCCCGAAGCGTCGGCTGCTTCTGAAGCTGTGGTCGGTGTTCATTCGGACTCCTTGTATTGAGCGGCCCTGTGGCGTGTTTTCAGCGCCAGCAGGAAGGCCTCCGTGCGGACAACGTCTCCGACTCCGGCAGCTCCAGCTCCTTCCCGCGCAGCACCAGTGAGTGCGCGCGGTCCTGGCACGTGTCACGAGGCGCGCCGAACTCCGCGGAGCGTGCGGTGTCGCCCGCATGGTCAGCGTCGGACTCGTGGGCTCATGCGCCGCGTGGAGTTCGTTGGCTGTCCCTCACGTGAGGTCCATGCTGGAGTTTGGGGGATTCCGGTGGTGGTGCTCTTGGATTCGGTTCCCTGATGACGATCACGGATAGCTGATTGCGCTGAAAGATGTCCCTTATGGGAATGGAGATGGCCAGCGGTGCAGCTAGTCGGTGGAACCCGAAATGGCGCGGGATGGAGTTCGTGCGTTTGCTGGGCGTGAACTCAGTCATCGACGATGACCCTCCCAGTCATCACACGCCGCCTTCTCCTTCAGGCCCTGGCTCCAGCTCTAGTGCGCCGGCGCCGCCGCCGCCGCCTCCGCCGCCTCCTCCTCCGCCTGCGGCCGCCGGCCCGTCCACCGTCAGCTGTCCGCCACCGCCGCCAGGCGGCTCTGGCGACGCGGGCCGGCGCGCACTGCTCGACTCCATCTCAGCGTTCGACAAGAGCGGTCTGAAGCGCGCGAACGGCGACCAAGGCGGCCCCGCCGCCGTCCGGTAATGACATCACGGGCCGGCGTCTGACGTCACACTAGGAAACCCCGGCGTTGGGTCGCGAGGTGGAGCGGTGGGCGGGCGTGTGTTCAGCTGAGCTTCTGAGGGCGTGCGCGCTGTTTATAGTCAAGCTTTGTTCCATCACATTTATCGTGCAATTTGTCGCTTATCTAACGTTATCGTGCTGGTTTGAGTGGCGTGGCGTGCTAGCAGTAGTGATGCGGCGATTATAGTGCATTACCCCACGCACCTCATAGTGCCGCCCGACCTTATTATAGGCAGCGAACGCCAGAGTGTAGCACCAGTGCGTGCTCCAGTGACCAAGTAACGTCATTGTTTATTGTGATTTGGTCTCAGCCACTCGTGCCTGCCGAAACCCCGTCGTATTCGTATGACGGACTCAGCTGTGGTGCATGCCAGCCGGGCGCGTCGAGCTAGTGGTCGCTGGCCGGTGGGGGGGGGGGGGGGGGGGGGTGCGGGAGGGCCGCTGGTTGCCTGGCCGGTGGGAGGGGCCACTGGTTTCCAGGCCTGTGAGAGGGGCTGGTGGGAGGGGCCGCTGGTGTCCAGGCTGCTGGGAGGGGCCGCTGGTCGCCTGGCCGGTGGGAGGAGCCGCTGGCGTCCTAGCCGCTGGGGCGGGGGGGGGGGGGGTGCTGGTCGCTGGCCGATGGGAAGGGCCGCCGGTCGCCTGGCAGATAGGAGGGGTCGCTGGTCGCTGGCCGTCGGGAGGGGACGCTGGTCACCTGACCGGGGGAGTGTTCGCTGGCCGTCGGGAGGGGCCGCTGGTCACCTGACCGGCTGCAGCTGTCCCGGCTCAAGTTATCACAGCTACGGCACCGCTGGCAGCGGCCGAGGCCGCTCAGCAGTCGACACTGCAGGAACAAAAGCCTGCCGAGTTATTTTGTGTTAGTTCCTCGTTCGACCTGAAGCGTTCGTTTGGGCCTGGGCACGTTGCTGCCAGCAGTGCGTGGGTAGTCTCGAGGCTTTCCTGGCCAGACCGCGACCCCAGCTGTTGGTGCGAGTCTGGGCACGTGCCCGGTGCTGCCAGCTGGCGGTCAGATCGGCAACTGAAATAGGGTGTTATCGCGACCGTCTGCACTCGTCTTGTGATATGATATAGAGCCAGACGTGAGGCGGTTTGAAGTGTTTGAGCGATCGATGGGAGCACGGACGCATATCAGTGGAGCGGCGTGGTTCAATAGACGGTAGTTTGACACTGGACGATCCTGGATTTGACTCGATGACTTCAGTTTGTCGGGCAGAGTTCGCCTTGTCCGAAGATGTCAACATCGCCACGTGATGTATGAATGTGTTCTATCGTGAAAACCTGGAGATCAATATATCAAGTGATGCAAGAAACGGAGTGGATGATGCTGTTGTCCATAGCGTGCCGGGTGGGTTGCTGGATTATTGAATCAAGTGCCTGGTCCGTGCATTGCTTTACGGTCCTCGTACACTGTCCAGTGCTGCTCTCGATGCTCGCGAACGCGCGTGGTCGTTTGATCTCCAGCTTTCCACTACTACACCGGGAGGAATAGTCGGAGACGTCGGGGGTCTCCCAGGTTTTCCCAGGTTTGGAACCAGCCTTGCAGCAGAGCGCAACCGGGGTAGAAAACATCCCCGCTTCTCTTCGACAGCCGCTTACAGAAACCTCGAGCTTAGGAAGTGATGCTGGTGGAATCATCTGAAAATTAATTCCGAAGTGGCGTAAGTTATTGACGTCGGAAGAGTCTGAAGGGGCGCGGGGCGGGTATGCAGAAGATCGCGCGCGGGTCATTTGTGGCGCTCATACCGTAACCCAGGCGTACGCGTGCCTCGTGGGTTGACGTTGCCCTGCGCGCATTCCGCATGATTTGAGAACCCCACACTACTTGCGCAATAACCGCATCAGCGCAAGCGCGCCTAAGTACCCTCAGTCCGGAGATCTGGTCCTGACATTGGACCTTCATGAGTTTTTGATCAACTTGGTCTTCTTGTGTGCAATTGTAACGAAATTATGTCAAATCTAGCTAACAAATCTGACAAGTTTCATCAAAAATTTTAATTTAGGAGTCGGATCAGCCCCGTGTGCTTTGTTTCAAAGCCTGAATCGGTTTCTCCGAAAAATAATGAAGCAGCCCATAGCTCGTGGGCTTCGCAATGAGTCTATCACTCAGCAAAGCTTGGTACGCGTTTGTAGCTCTGAAATCTATGGCAATTTATTTCCACGAAAACCATGAGACGGTGTCATCGATGACAACGCAATCCTAACGACCAATAAATCAAACACTACCATAAGCAAGAATATCAATCAAACGAGATTGAACACGCAACTTCAAACGTATCCGTCAAGTTGACAGAAAGAGCAGATAAGTGCCTTATGATTGGCAGTGGATGTGCCAACCAACCAAGGTGGCCGAACAGAAATCCGACTGTGCAGCTAACATCGACAAATGTGCATGGTCAACAACTGAAGTGCGGTCGCACTTCATGCAGTGCAATTGGTACCGCCTGCGGTCGCGTAACTGAGTCGGAACAGAAGGTGTCGCCCTTAAATAGGCGTCAATATCGCTCAACGCGGATGCGGTCGGGACATCGGATTGTCCCCATCCTGCGTAGGAACATCTAAACAACCGTGTTCAGAAAGCCCAGTGGCTGCTGCCGCTGGGATGAGCGGCACATGTCATCCCGGCCGTTCCTGGGATGGAATACCAAGTCTCTTGGCAACGATCACCTGATCTCGATCGGCGCCTCAATAGTGTGCAATTCGACGCCAGGCGCTGGGGCAGCGCGACTTCGGCTGGCATGGCAAACGCCTTCCGTCCAGAACCGCCCTTAAGTCCTCGCCCAACACAACAGCGTTGAACTGTCTGCGAGCCGTGCGTCTGCCATGACATCTCTTCGGTCAAGAACGCGCCTCTTGCACGAGTATCCCCGACCCTCTGTGCTCAGTCCGAAAGCTCACGCGTCTGAACGACGATGACCGCCCCTCCACTGCATACCCCGCAGTCTGCGAGGCCGATGCGAGCTCCCCGAGTGTTCCCCGCCGCACAGACCCGACAGTCTCGGACCACCCGACCACCCATCCCCAGACGGCAGGGCCGGTTGTCCGACGCCGCCACCGACGTCCCAACTACAGGCTTTGCAGGCGGGCGTAGCCGCGACACTCGCACAGGTTCTTGGGGCAGTTCTGCACCTTGTCGGAGGTGCAATTGACCTCGCACCAGTAGTCCATGGCGAACGAGTGGCGGAAAGTGCCGACACCGCGGCAGGCCGCCTGGCGCTTCTTCAGCTCGCGCTGGCCGGCGCCCGTGTCTCCGGGCGGGTCGTGGTCAAGCCCCGGAGCCGGGTTCAGCGGCACCACCTCGGTGCTCTTCTCGCCGGCCGCTGCCGTCAGAAGGCCAATGTTGCGGTACACCTCCTGCTGCAGCTGGCCCTGCAGGGCGCTGGCGGCGGCGGCAGAGGTGGCGGAGGCGGGCAGCGGCCGCCGCTGCCGGCTCAGCACCTCGGCCGCGCGCCGCCGCGTCTCCTGCCGGCCCACCTTCTGCCCCATCGGCACGACGATGGCCCGCGCGCTCTGCGGCCGCCCGCCGGCGCCGCCCTGCCGGTCGATCGGCTGGATGAAGAACAAGAAGCCGGGAGCGCGCGCCTTGAAGTAGAGCGTGGTGCTGCGGTTGGCCTTGGGCCTGCGGCTGCCGGCGCCGGCGGCGCCGTCCGCGTTCAGGACGATCTTGGCGCGGTTACCCTGGTGTGTGATCTGCATGAGCGTGCGGTTGCGGCCGGCCTCCAACTCCGGGTGGCTGATGGTGACCCGGGCGTTGGTGCAGGCGCAGATGGTGACGGGACAGGAGGGCCGCCGCCGGCCCAGGCAGTTCTCGTTGCACCACTTGGTTACGCCGCTCATGAACCGCCACGGCACCACGGCCGTGCACTGCACGCTCGTCTCCCACTGCGGCTGCTCGCTGCTGGTGTTGGCCTGCTGCTGCTGCCGCTGTCGCTGCTGCTGCTGCTGTTTGCGCAGCTCCCGCAGCTGCTGCAGCTTCCGCTGCGTCTGCAGCCGCTCCAGCCTGCCGCGCTGCCGCTCCCGCTCCACCAGCGCCGCCGGAAGCAGCTCCGCCTCCGGCTCGGTGCCGGCGGGCGGACGCGTGGCCGCCGGCGGCAGCGGCGTCACCGGCTCCAGGTCGTCCAGCGCCAGCGTGGGCTCCAGCGTCGGCAGACGCTCGGGGCCGTCGGTGGCTGCCGGCGGCCGCCGCTCGGTGGGCGGCGGCGTCGTCCGTTGGGTGGTCGGCGGCGCGAAGTAGAAGTGCCGGCCCGGCCGGCGCCCGGCCGCGGCGCTGGCCGCGGTACCGGCCGCGGTCCCGGTGGCCGGCGCCAGGTAGGTTAAGCGCCCGCCGGTGACGCCGCCTGCCGCCGCCCCGGCGTAGCGCTGCCGCTCGCGGCGCAGCGCCGCCAGCTCGGTCAGCAGCGCCTGAACCGTGCTGCGGTCAGCCGGCAGCGGCGGCGGCGGCAGCGGCTCGGCCGCCGGCTCCGCGGGCCGGCGCCGGTCCGGCAGCGCCCCCTGCAGCACCTGCAGCGAGGGTCGTGGCGGCTCGGCTGTCCCGGCCGCCGCCGCAGCCCCTGGCCGGCACCGGCACATGCCCTCCGGGCAGCTGGGCATCGGCTGCGCCATGCAGTTGGTCTGGCACCAGGTATCCATGCCGGGCACGGTCACCCAGATGCTGATGGCATGACAGGTGGTGCCCGCCCCGACCGGCACGCTCAGCTGTTTCCCTCGACGCAGCCCGGATGCCCTGCGGGGAGAAGCGACCATCACTGGGTGGGAGGCGCGGGGCATCACCGTCCGGCCGGCAGGCGAGTCACGGGACGTCGGGAGTTCTTTAGAAGAAGCAGTGAATCGTTTGAGGAAAGGCGGTGGCCTCCTCGTCACGTACATTGACTCATAGCGCTTTGGCATTGCGTCATGATGGATCTGTCATGCTATTACCGTGTTAAGGCACGGCTGGTCTCGCTGTTCAAACATTTGGCGCCGGACCTCTCGACGGCATCTCCGACGGGGATCCCAGTATCTGATATCGGTGACGATAGTGTTCGGGGTAAACTGCATTGAACAGACGATTAATTTTGCTTGGATATGCTAATTTAGAATATTGGTACAGCTGACTCCCTCCCTTCCATCCACAAAGGTTATCATTACTGAAAAGAGAGGCACCTACGAGACGCATACCAATGAGGTTTAACTTAGCACCCTACGTCAAATAACTGTCAGTCGCCAGAGGTGAGACCTCTGAGATGACTGGCTTGCTTACTGGAATAACGTCAGTGATTCATCGCACTGTTTGTCATTGGTCACCGACCATTTTTGCCGAGTCGTGCCTCTGCGCGTCCGCAGTGTCATTCCTAGCGCCCTTGGAACCTCTCGCTGGGGCCAGGGCTGGCGTCGCGTGATCCGCCGGTGCCCCAGCTGGC